TGTGTGTGTACATGTATTTCTTTATTGTAACTGTGTGTGCAGTGTTGCATGAATCTGCATGAACAAGTACTTCATCCCTGACATTCAACCCCCACCCCTCCATCAGTCCTATTAAACGTGATAGCAGGGTGCAGACAGACATCACATTTTGTCCTCTGTCCTTTCACTACGGGGATTATGTTATTCATTTGAATAAAATATCTGAGCTCACAAAGCATAATGGGCCCTGTGAGGAATTCAATCATCTCAGATAATCATCATTATCAATAATGCCAGTTAATTACCATAACAATGAGGAAGGTAATAAATGATTATGTCAAGGGAGAGCTACCAGGTTCAGGAAACAATGGAGAAAGAAATTACTTTCTCCTTTTTAAAAAAAGATCTGAATCTCACCTCATAAAGTTGTCCATAATTTCATTCATCATACATTGATGGACAACTGCCAAACCTGTTGGTTATTAATTTTCAGCGTCTTTTTGTTTGACTGATATAATATGAACTGTACAAAATGAAATAATTGATCTATTTTTTTTTGTTAATACTAACCAAAAACTAAAAATACACATGGATAATATTTTAACAGGGTGTCTATATATATATAAAACTATTGATAGTATCACTATTGCAATCTCATTTTCTTTTGTCAACATAATGTGGAATGCATATACTGTAGCTGTAAAAGATGGAAATAATGTAAATATGAAAAGTGCTACCACTTGTTGGTCGTGTTAATTAAAAAAAAAAAATAATAATAATAAGTTTAAATAAAAAACAGGGGTGTCCAAACAGATTCATATGTGGACCAAGACCTTGAAGATGAAAGGAGTGTTGAGACACAAAAATGTGAATTAAATAAATAAGTAAATAAATAATAAAAAGTGTACATATTTTTACTTTATTCTTCTTTTTTATTTTAAATCAGCGTAAAATTTATTTAGGAAAAATAACAAAATTTACTGATTTTGGTGGAGAAGGTGTTCTAAATTATTCAGACATAAACAAAGTTTTATTTTTTTATTTAACTTAATTGATTTTATAGATTTATTGCCAAAAGATTGTACTAAACAATATTGCCCATTTTGAGAATTTTTTTAATCCATTTTGCTGTTAAACCTAAAAATTATTTAAAAAATGATCATCACTAAATTTGCAAAAGGTCTTCACATCTCTTAAGCCTTCAGGCCAAAATTATACCATCCCTAAACTGCAGTTGTGGGCCACACAAAATCACTCCAAGGGCCACAAATGGCCCCCAGGCCACACTTTGGACATCCCTGTTTAAAAGAAAGATGTGCACAGTAAAGCTAATAATTACAGTTGTAAGCTCAAACACTTATTACATGTTTAAATATATTTAATTGCTTCTGTACTTAATAGTTATGTCTCTGTCTTGCTGTTAATTAGTCAAAGGTAACGTTAACTTTTAGTACAATACTTTAATTCATGCTTTTGAATAAATGTTTTTATTTTTAAATGATGGCTCAGTTCTTTTGTTTGCATTGGTTTATTTTCCAGATCAGTAATTTAAAAACTAATAGTTTGAACTAAAAGTTTATTAAACTGATCCAACAGATTGCTTTGTGGAAGTAAAATAATCAAAAATACAATTGTTAAAAATAAATTTTAAATCATTTTGACT